TTTTAGCTAATTCTGAGTTGCTAACCTTATTTGGATGGAACAAGGCATACAATTTACATTTTTATATATTGGTTTTGTGATATAATATATTGGTCACATATTTTAATTTTGATTTTGATAAGACTGTTTGAGTTGATACTTACTCGTAATTAATGAACTTGATACTTTAACTTAAATTTAGTAAGTGATTATTTCTGGCAATAAATGCACTTTCTTTTCTTACTTCTTTCAAAATGTCGTCTGAACCACCTCAACCAATCTGTGAAGTTATATTCTCAGATAGATTAAATGTAACTAATAAGCTAACAGTGGTAGAGCCACGTGGCAGCTTTGGCAGTGAGTGCAGGTGGCCGGAGGCCTTTTTTACTAGAAATGAGGCATTCCATCCTAGTCCTCACGGGTGAAAACGCATCTGCATTTTGATTTGTAATTGAGGATATATGTAGCTGTCTATGGGCCGCAGCAACCACTTACCATCAGGTGGACTGTGTGCTCGTTTGTCACCCTTATCCTATAAAAAAAATAAAAATATGTTCTATCACAAGATCTAGCAATATGAATTTGCCATTTAACAGTGGTAGTAACTTTTGGTGTCGCACGGATGGGCCGGCTCGAACCGGGGTGGTACCACGACCTCACAGAATACCAGCGTGAAGTAGAGGTTTACCTCTGCGTTGCGCTTGGTGAGTGCAGGTGGCCAGAGGCCTAATCCCCCCCCCTCCCCATCAACATCGTAGTGGAATTAAATAAAAGACTACCCCAGGATGGTACCAGCACCCCTGGAGAATCCCTCGCTGAGCATCCACGACTAAACTACTTCTGTTCTCTGGGTCTGGGTGCTCAGGCTGCCCCGCGTAATCTGGGGGTGGGGGGGGGGGCAAAATTCCGCTCGCGACTAATGCAAGCTCGGGGCAAGCGAAGCAATAAAACCAAGGCGACCCCTGTCACGCTATCCGTGAATTTTTGCAACATCAGGGGATTTCATTCCAACCTTAACGCTGTCCATTACCATCTAGAGACGGCGAAGCCGGCCTTGCTCTTTTTAACCGAGACTCAGGTGTCCTCTCCGGCTGATACTTCATATCTCTCCTACCCGGGGTACAAATTGGAACACTCCTTTGTGCCCCGGGCTGGAGTTTGCAGAGAGGACATCTGTTTTCGACGCCTCGGCAGTCTTGAAGGTACGGACCTGTCCATCCGATGGCTGCGCGTAGACAGCGACGACCATCCTCGCGTCTACGGATGCCTCTATAGGTCCCATAGCGGTAATACCGATACAGACCGACTCATCGACCACGTCCAAATGGCTGCAGACTCCGTGCTACAACAGGTCCCATCCACAGAGATCGTGATACTCGGTGATTTTAACGCCCACCACGCTAAATGGCTTGGTTCTCGTTTAACCGATCATGCGGGTAGATCTGTCTATGACTTTGCTTTGGCATATGGTCTAACACAACTGGTTACTTCGCCTACGCGGGTCCCAGATGTGGAAGACCATGTACCTTCCCTGTTGGACCTTCTACTGACCTCTCATCCGGACGGATATCAGGTCTCCGTCGATGCCCATCTGGGCTCTTCGGACGATTGTCTGATCCGGAGTACGGTGCCATTCACGCTCCAATCGCAGTTGCGATCTGCAGCTTGCCGCCGTGTTTGGCACTATAGGTCAGCTGATTGGGACGGGAAGCGGTCTTTTTTTGCATCCTAGCCTTGGGGGCGGGTTTGCTTCTCGCCGGAAGATCCCAGCGTTGTTGCCGATTCCGTTGCGGGAACACATGCATTCTGGTCTCTCGCCAAGGCTGTCCAAGGGAACTTCTGTCAGCCATCTCTTCCATCTCTGCACAGAGAGGACGACTCACTGGCCCATGCCGATCTGTTGAGCTCTCTCTTTGCGTCCAACTCAACTCTAGATGACGGGGGGAACACACCGCCGACCATCCCGCGATGTGAGTGCTGCATCCCGGATGTGCGGTTTACACAGCGCTCGGTTCGCAAAGCACTCTTCTCCCTGGACGTCAGCAAGTCGAGTGGGCCCGATGGAGTCCCTCCCATTGTGCTGAAGACGTGTGCTCCGGAGTTGGCACCGGTTTTAACGAGTCTTTTCCGGTACTCCTACTCCCAAGGCGTAGTCCCGAATTCATGGAAGACAGCTTTGGTCTACCCGATCCCTAAAAAAGGCGACCGCTCAGATCCGTCCAACTACAGACCTATCGCCATCACCTCCTTGTTCTCCAAAATAATGGAATCCATTATAAACTGCCAGCTCATGAGGTACCTTGAGGATCACCAGCTGATTAGTGACCGCCAGTACGGTCGTCGGGGTCGATCAGCTGGTGATCTTCTAGTCTATCTGACTCATAGATGGGCGGACGCAGTAGAGTCCAAGGGGGAGGCATTAATTAGCCGTTAGTTTGGACATAGCGAAGGCCTTCGATCGGGTCTGGCACAAAGCGCTTCTTTCGAAGCTTCCTTCCTATGGGCTTCCCGAGAAATTGTGCAAATGGATCACCAGTTTCCTTGCTGATCGGAGCATCAAGGTCGTAGTAGACGGTGCATGCTCTGATTTCAAGCCTATCAACGCTGGTGTTCCACAAGGCTGCGTGCTATCACCAATGCTGTTTCTCCTGCATATCAATGATATGTTGCTAACTGGTAGCATTCATTGCTATGCGGACGACAGCACTGGTGATGCGTTATATACCGGCCGTGCCAATATTTCTCGGGAAAACGTCGCCGAGTACCGGGACAAACTTGTGTCTGAAGTCGAGTCTTTGCTTAACAAAGTCTCGGATTGGGGGCGACTAAATCTAGTCCAGTTCAATCCCCAGAAGACACAACTTTGCGCGTTTACTGCTAAAAAGAACCCCTTTGTCGTATCTCCTCAGTTTCAAGGCACTCCCCTTGCTGCCTCAGCTAGCATTGACATATTGGCGTCGACATATCGAATAGTGTGCAGTTTGGTGGTCACTTGGAAGGGAAGGCCAAATTGACCTCTAAAAAGCTTGGCGTGCTCAGTAGAGCGAGACAGTATTTCATGCCGGCACATCGCTTGCAACTTTACAAAGCGCAAGTTCGGCCCCACATGGAATACTGTTCTCATCTCTGGGCCGGGGCACCCCAGTGCCAGCTCCTTCCACTTGACCGTATCTAGCGCAGAGCGGTTCGAGTCGTTGACGACCGAGTTCTTTCCGATCGACTCGATACACTGGCACTGCGTAGAGATGTTGCATCTCTTTGCGTATTTTATCGCATCTATCACGGGGAGTGCTCTGAGGAATTGTTCGGACTAATTCCAGCCGCTCAATTTCACCATCGCACATCGCGACAAAACTCGCATTACCATCCATACCATCTGGATGATTGGCGGTCCACCACTGTGCGATTTAGAAGAAGTTTTCTCCCTCGCACAACTTCCTTGTGGAATCAATTACCACCAGCGAATTTTCCGGACCGGTACGACTTAGGAACCTTCAAGAAAAGAGCTTACACCTTTCCGGCCGGTAACGCATCTGCAATTCCTCTGGTGTTGCGGTTGTTCATGGGCGGCGGTAGTCACTTACCATCAGGTGAGCCGCACGCTCGTTTGCCCCCTCTTCTATAAAAAAAAATCCCATAGCTTATGAAATGTTCATACTGTGTATATTGCTCAGCAAAATGCTATAAATCCACATTTATGTTCATGTGAACCAATGTAATAGAGAATACAGTATATTTTAATTTCACACATTTCGACAACACATAAAATTGTGATTTTGTAACAATTTATACAGTTGAACCACCACCACTGATCAAACTAATAGTAGCTGATATTATGGATATAAAAAACCTAATTAATACTAACTTAATTACTTTACGACAGAAATGGGGTTGAATAAACCTGAGCTATGTTTTAATACTAAGCAATAAAGTCTATATTTAATTATAATTTACATTAGTCGAAGGTGTTCCTGATCATAAAATTGTTTATTAATAAGGGGATCAAAGCTTAGACACATTAAAATCACTTCCTTAACTGACCGTTACTTTTGAATGAAAACCGTCATTTCGCTTTTTTGCTTTACTTTTAATTTTAAAATTAGTGCTACATTTGATACAAAATATGTCATGATCCTCATCATCATCATCATTACAGCTCATCACAAGTCCACTGCTGAACATAGGCCTCTCCCAAGGAATGCAACAAAGCATGGTCCTAAGCCACCTACATGTCTTACCAGGTTGTCATTCCATCTAGTGAGGAGCCAACTCACACTTCGTCTACTGATACGAGGCTGACACTCGAGGACATTTCTTCTCCATCGGTTGTACATAGTAATATTTACCAATAATATTAAATAAATGTTATAACTATGACAATTCACATACTTTTTGATAATTTTGTTAGAAATTATCACATAAAGACAGAAATTAATTCAATCTCCTTTTCAAAATGCCTGATGGGATGAGATATTGAAGACACTAAAATAAAAATAGGTACATTATCATTATGAAAAAATTCACTGTTGAATATAGACCTTGGAGAGATGCTTACTCAATATAACAAGACCTAAAACTGTTATATAGTTTGCGTTTCGGGACAATGTATTAATAGGTGTAAAATAATTTAAAATTTTATAAATATCATCATTATAACATCCTATCAAAGTCCACCGCGGAACATAACTCTCCCACATAGATTGCCTCATAAAGGGATATTTTTAGTTATTATCAGTAAGATATTGCTGCCCATCTGCTGTTGCAGTATCCCTCTGGTCGCCATTTACGACACCGGGATGATATAAGGTAGTAAATTATCTTACGCTGCTACTTCACAGCGTCAAAATTAAATATATTTATAATTATCTGAAAAAAGGAATAAAACTAACAAACAACCGAAACCAGACTTTAGACATGTGCTAAAACTATGTGTAAAGTAACCTTTAGCAATATATTTTTAGTATGCGTGATATCTATAAAAGCTATAAATATTTTAAAAATAATTGGAAATATCTTAACAGGCTATGATGACGGGTAGTATATCCACGTTCGCTGACGTGGCACTAAACTTTGGAGCCCCTGCTGTGCGGGGCGACAGCGTGCTTCGGGTCGCATCAGTTCGGGGCAGACGCTCTGTACTTTACGGCGACGACACCTGGCTCCGACTATTCCCTGGTCTTTGGGCTGAGTATGACGGCACCACTTCCTTTTATGTGACCGATTACACAGAGGTTCGTAGCAATGAATAATTTTTACGATGAATTTATTAATTTATAGAACATTTGTAACTACGCTGATTATATATTTTGATTTAGCTATTTATAGCTTATAGTTCCTAATAACTTAAATATGAATGATTTATTGCAACACTGATTTGACATTCTGATTTAATAACAATTGACATTTGCAAACTGCTTTATGACATACATAAAGTATGTACTCTGAGTAATTACATACATATGATAAAGTAGATTGCACATGTCAAATAAAAATTATTTTACGTGGAAACACAATATTCTATTCCTTTCTATTTTTAATATGCATAACGGACTCATGCCGACTAAATATGTTAACACTAGGATAAGTATTTGTTACCTACCATGTCTCTGAAAATTCTTATGTAATGTTCCTTGTGCTTGTATTGTTGGAACAATTAGCTTGGAAAAGAGGCATTACATCTTAGTCCTCACGCCTGATAAGGCATCTGTATTTTGATTCGCAAACGAGGGTAGATGTAGATGTCTATGGGACACAGCAACCACTTACCATCAGGTGGACTGTGTGATCATTTGTTACTCTTTCATCATCATCATCATTACAGCCCTTCACAAGTCCACTGCTGAACATAGGCCTCCCCCAAAGAATGCCACAAAACACGGTCCCGAGCCACCTGCATCCATCGACTTCCTGCATGTCTTACCAGGTCGTCACTCCATCTCGTGGGGGGACGCCCTACACTTCGCCTACCGGTACGAGGCTGCCACTCAAGAACCTTTCTTCCCCATCGGTTGTCGGTTCTTCGAGCTATATGGCCGGCCCACTGCCACTTCAGCTTACTAATCCGTTGGGCTATGTCGGTCACTCTGGTTCTACTGCGGATATCCTCATTCCTAAGTTTATCACGCAGAGAAACTCCGAGCATAGCCCTCTCCATAGCTCGCTGAGCGACCTTGAGCTTCCTCATACGGCCAGCAGTGAAGGACCACGTCTCAGTTCCGTAAGTCATCACTGGCAACACGCACTGGTTGTACAATTTCGTTTTAAGGTTTTGAGGTATGTCTGACGAGAAGATGTGTCGTAGCTTCCCGAACGCTGCCCAGCCGAGTTGAATCCGTCGATTGACCTCTCGGTCGAAGTTGGACTTACCCAGTCGGACTATTTGTCCCAGGTAAACATACTCGTCAACAACTTCGAGCTTAGTGCTCCCAACAACTACCGGCATAGGTGTGACATGGACATTAAACATGATCTTTGTTTTGTCCATGTTCATCTTAAGACCTATCCGTTGGGAAACACTATTGAGGTCATTGAGCATAGTGCTTAGGTCCTCCAGCGATTCTGCCATAAGGACTATATCGTCGGCAAATCGAAGGTGAGTGATGTACTCGCCATTGATGTTGATACCGTATCCTTTCCAGTCCAGAAGCTTGAAAACGTCTTCCAATGCAGCGGTGAAGAGTTTCGGGGATATGACGTCATCCTGTCTTACACCTCTCTGCAATTGGATAGGTTTCGTACTCTGGTTCTGTACTCGGATAGCCATCGTAGCCCTACTGTACAAGCACTTCAACACTTCGATATACCGACAGTCAACTTGGCACCGCTGAAGGGACTGCAGCACCGCCCAAATTTCGACGGAATCAAAGGCTTTCTCATAGTCCACATACGCCAGACATAGTGGCAAATTGTACTCTTCGGACTTCTGTACAACTTGCCGAAGGGTATGTATGTGGTCTATGGTGCTAAAGCCCTTTCGGAAACCGGCTTGTTCAGGAGGCTGGAAGTCGTCAAGTCTGCGCGCGAGACGATTCGTAATGACTCTCGAAAACAGCACGTAGACGCGGCTAAGAAGGGAAATCGGTCTGTAGTTCTTCAAGAGAGCGTTGTCACCTTTCTTGAAGAACAAGACCACCGCACTTCTGCTCCACGCCTCCGGTGTAATGCCACCATGGAGGACGGAATTAAAGAGCTTCTGAAGGACTTCAAGTACCGGTCTTCCACCCGCTTTCAGAAGCTCCGCTGTAATTCCATCCTCGCCTGGGGCCTTACCGTTTTTAAGGTGCTGGAGAGCCATCCTAATCTCGCTCAGACTGACATCCGGGATATCTTCGGAATAGTGTCGGATGAGACTCGCTCTTGGATCGTTACTCACACTTGCGTGTGGCTCCAACGATGATGTGTACAGCTGCCCATAGAACCTCTCAATCTCACTCAAAATCTCAGGTGTCCCGGAAACGATGCTGCCACATTCTGTCTTCAGCTTTGACAGTTGGCTCTTTCTGGCAGACAGATCTCTGGCAAAGACTTTGGAGCCTTGGTTCCGCTCGATCGCTTCTTCAATACGAGCTGTATTGAAGTTGCGTAAGTCCCGCCGCATGCATTTGGAGATCTGTCTGTTCAGATGCCTGTATGCTGTCAAGTCTGTTGAAGAATGTAGCTTCATCTCCCGTCTAACAGCCATGAGATTAAGAGTGTGATCGGAGAGTTTTTGTGTTCTTCTGCGGCGGGTCTTGCAGAACTTAGCTCCGACCGCATGGACAGTTTCCACGAGCTTGTCATTCATATCGTCCACTTCATTGCAGTCTTCCAGGCACTGAAAACGGTTTTGTAACTCGAGCTGAAAGGTTTCGGGACTTTGGATTAGAGCACGAGGGGGACGGAGCGTTGACTTCATTAGACGAGACCTCTCCAACTTAACGTTTAGGTTCAGTGTGCCTCTAACCATTCGGTGATCGCTACCAGTTTTCACCCTCGCGATCACGGAGACAACAGTTGTCGTCTGGTCGTCATAATGAAGTCAATCTCATTTTTTGTGGAACCGTCGGGGCTCGACCAGGTCCACTTCCTGTGGGGCCGCTTCTGGAAGAAAGAGTTCATCATAAAGAGTCCCTCTTTCTCCATGAAGTCGGCCAGCTGCTGGCCCCTTGGGTTCCGTTGCCCTATTCCAAATTTCCCTACTTTCAGCTCACCGTTCTCTCTTGTGCCTAGTTTTGCATTGAAGTCTCCCATTAACACCGTATATTGGGTTTTGGAGGAATGCATGGCTCTAGAGATTTCCTCATACATTTCCTCCACCTCCTCATCGGGGTGTGCCGAGGTTGGTGCGTAAACCTGTATGACCTTCAGCGAATACCGTTTGGTGATTCTGAGTATAAGGTACGCAACCCTCGTCGACACACTCCCGATCTTTAACGAGAGACTTGTGGACGATAAATCCGACACCTCCTTGGGACAGATGGTCGCCCTCCCGGTGATAGAGCAAGTTGCCGGATTCGAGGATTACCGTGTCCTCCCCCTCTCTTCGGACTTCGGATAATCCTATAATATGCCAGCGCAACTTGTCTATCTCTTCTTCCAGCTCCACGATTTGTTACTCTTATCCTATAAAAAAATGTTTTATCATGTACAGAACTTAATTTAGCAAATAAAATGTACATCATTTTAAATTTAATAACATTTAAACTTACATTATATGTTATAGGTGGACAATAACGTGACTCGCCATTTAGACAAAGTTCTAACACCAGACGATGACAAGGAGCCTACCTTCGATTTCCTCGTCCTTCACTATTTGGGCTTGGATCATATAGGACATCTGGAGGGTGCCCGCAGTCCAAAAATCAAGCCTAAACTTATCGAAATGGATGAAGTTGTGAAGAAAATATACATAGCTATGCAAACCTGGGTAATATAAACAATAAACATATATTAATGAATATGCCACAGTGTATGTAAAAAAAAACTGGAATGATAAATATAATTACCGATCACATCCATGTCCATGTCATAACGCTTTAACCGTGTAGTGATGGTGTAAGAATATCTCCTTATCGTCCCGTGGGTGTCGTAAGAGGCGACAACAGAAGATAAGCAGCTATATCTTCGTGATAACAACTCAAAATTATGAAAAACTGCGGCTACAGACCTACCCGCCAAAAGTGGTAACTATGGCAAAATCCCCCCATGAGGTATTTTGTAATAATATCATAATAACGCTACTTCTAGCGCTATGATATTATTACAATCCATCACTCCTTCCATGAAGGGTGTCGTAATGATAGATTAAAAGAAAAGCCAAGGATATAATGTGGTTTTTATATATATTTTCATAGCGGTATTAAAATCTCGTATACTTCAATCTGCTTTCCTATATTATGGTTAGTCATACCTAATTGTGAGAGATTCCTAGTTCAAAAGTGGGTGTATTATTGTCTGCCTGGTGAAGTATTGTCAAATATTTTATTTCACTTTTCTGCTCCTTGTTTGACACAAAGAGAAAAAAGTATCCTCTCAAATTGTTCTTCCTCCAGGATCGTACTGGAGTGCTTATTGTATGCGGAGACCACGGTATGCGTGACGCAGGCGGGCACGGAGGCGCCACGCCCGCTGAAGTCCTCATACCATTGGTTGTCGTCAAGAGCGGCGACTTCCAATGTCCGCATCCGTAAGTCTAAATATACTTAAGGAAATAAGTAAAAAGTCCATAGCTCTCTTATTTCTATGAGAGCTATAGTGCAAATGGTCCACCGCGCTGCTCCATTGCGTGATGGTGGACTTTACATGCCCCCATCGATATATATGTAGGTACTACTATGTACTACGTACTAGATTTCGCATTCCGAACCTAAACTATGTTTAACTCAACTGCGTACAGTGTGTAATTTAGTGTGGTTTCAATATACATGCATTGTGGAGCGGCGCTAATAATACAAGATTTCAAATTAAAGTTTAAATTAAAAACTGACCGCGCAGGCGCAACGCGCCTAATTCAACTGCGCATGCGCGACTCTACTATCTCCCGCGCATGCGCCAAGACATAGAGTAGCGCACATTTTTTGTTTAGAATGGCTTCTCTAGTACGTAGTACATATAACTCAATGCATGCCCCCGAAACACGTTTTTCCTCGGATGTAAAATTATAAATATAAAATTAAATTCCCCTTGCATACTTTTTCTAAGCATGTTAGGCACTTGGAAGATCTGTTTCTAGTTACTACGCCGCGGACAGTTCAGTGTCTGCAAGCAAGTCTATAAAATTTAGTTTCAGCCTTTTTGAATGGATTTCCGCCATCAGTCTTTAGCGTTATGTTGACGTAAGAGAAATCACAACATTTAAGAGAATTTCGTGTCTAGTCTATCAAACGTATTTCTGTGTTTTCTCCCTTACTATACAAAACTATGCCATGTTTCTGTCTTGTTTTTTTACATATTATATTCGTTATATTGAAAACTAGGTACTTTCTCGCTGTTAATAGTCATCCAACAAACAAATTTAATGAACATTAGAAATAAAAGAAAAACATACTCAGATATCTATAATCTATGTTATATTGTAAGAACAATATACTATTTTCTCTTGAAAATAGTATATTACGCAACAAGGGAAGAAGGTATGACATTGCAACCCGCGAAGGCGAGGGTGATAAGAACGCGAGCTACGGCGTCATACTTTCCTCTCGTATTGCGTATACTATTTTTTGTCATACTTAGATCGAAATGAATGTACTTTAAAATGTATCATGACATATAATATATACTTTTAACTTTTAAAATCAATAGAGCTAGAAATTTGACGTATGCGTAAAAAAATAATAAGTCATTGATTCGGGAGGCAATGTGGCACTCTCTATTTCGTCCCTGAAAGTAGGGTCGAAATACGAACTTTCGATCAAGGTATGATAAAAAATACTAAACTGGTCCAATTTTAGCAGAAAGAAGAGGGTAAATACAGGCTGATGATTTTGTAATTTTCTCATAAGTATAAACCACGGAGCAAATACAAAGAGGAGACGGCCTAAGCAATTGTGCACTGTGATTCTAACTAAGTCCTGACGTCATCACATTGGGCGTGGCTTTAACGTTAGTATTCTGTCAGCATTCGTCCTGTGCGCTTATGTGTCGAAATTCGCAAATCTGTGTATCTTCGTAGTATTAAGAAGAAAAGGATGAAGTGTTGTTTTTTATCGTATAAAAAACTACTCAGATAGACGCTCTGATGCTATAGGGCATCACATTTCATTTGTAAGTAATTTTATACCTAATTTATTAAAATAGTTCTAGAAAAATCTCTGCGTCGGCTTTCAAATATAATTAAATATATAAAATATTAGATGGCGACACTTTGTGTCATGGAATTAAAAATATAAAGGTACGTAGAGCTCAGTATTTTGAAAATAATCATACGAAGGTGCTAAAATTTGTTTTGCATTCAGTCCTAAAGAATTTTTAATCGCCAAAATATTATTTTTACAGTTTTTATAATCATTTTGTGAACAAGCTGCCATCTATCGTCAAAGTAGCTAAACTACATTACAACACCGATATGGAACGATGCAAGTAGTTTTACTATTCATGAGTAGATGGATATAGTTAAGTGGGCGGGGCTTAACACCTCCGCACCCCGCAAATTGTTACGCGTTGTTACATAGTGAAAGCTAATTACAACACCTCCTCTTTGTATTAGCTCCGTGGTATGAACAGTCAGAGCTGCAGTATAGCTCGGTATTTCGAGTATAGCGCTAAATCAATGTATCATTAAAAACCTATTCTTCAAATTTTTTTGCAGTCCAGATATCCTCTATGTAATCTTAAGTTCCCAAAATATTATAAAAGCCTAATCTACAAAGGACCCATTCATATCGTCCCGGGATTTTTTTTTAGTTTATTCGAGAGATGAAATTCGGCGAGATGGGATGAAAAGTTGTGTTACATATACATAATATGTTATATGTTATTCTACTCTTTTCTTCATTCACTAGCCTAAATATATATATGTTGTTTGCTTCACGCGGCTAGACCTTGGTTACATCTACGCTACACGACGCAGCACGGTGTCAAGTGCGTAAGACAAACATTGCTACTGGATTACATTAGTAAAAGTAATTAATACAAATAATGTACTCTTGATATTCTATTAGTATGAGCTTGCTCCATCGTCACCATTGTTGTCACGCCAACCCGATTAACATGCCATAATGTCTCTAGTTGTAGAAAAACTCTATGACGTATAAAATAAGACTGTAAATTTAACTCAAAGTATGTTTACACTTATGCCGTTTTACTACAAAACGTGTTTTTTTATAGTCTCGGACTGAAACCACTTAAACTATGGGTTGAGAAAATTTTCAAAGGTTTATGAATTATTTAAATTTAAGACTATCAATAAACCACTTATTGTAATATATCGTAGTTTGATGCTTTGGTTAATTAAAGCCAAAGAAATTTGGCAGATCGCTATCTATCTATGTAACGGAGTATTTTTGGGTAATTTTTACCAACTTGTAGACGGCCGATTGACTTGAAACTGCACTCGTATCAAGGACCGTTGACAATACAATAGTTTAATAACTTTATCCCAGGTAGTATCCTGGTCAGGATCCCCAGGAAAAATTAAAATAATTAAGAACTGAAGACAATACAATAAATTCATGACTGTGATCTAGTGTTCTCATTATGATCACCAAAGCTCATCATTAATGCGTGTTGTAAACGTTTTTTAAACTCTAATATTAAGAGGATTTTGAAGCTGTAAATTTTCATACAAAAAACGATAACGTTTTCCCCCCGTAAATATAGTCCAATTTTAATAATTTTTGGAAATGTAGATATGACAAAAAACTAGGCCCGTGCGTTTTTATTTTAAAGAAATATTGTATACAATATAAGTTATTAGCATCTAAATATTTGACTTAGAAACAATATTTCAGAAAGAAAATGTAGACAATTGCCTTCAAGACTTGCAACTCTCTCTATCGCACGATACGGGTCTAGTGGCAGGGGCATATTGTAGTGATGTTAGGGGTGTTGGAGCCGTGGTAGCTCAGATGGTTAGCGCTCGCTATAAGTTTCACAGTAGGTACGCGAGAAACCTGGGTTCGAACCCCGCTGGCACCAATGAAATTGTTAATTGCAATTTTAAGTGCTGATTTACCACGTGCTCGGCGGTGAAGGAAAACATCGTGAGGAAACCTGCATGTCTGACAAATAAGAAAAAAATATATTTCGAAGACATGTGAATTTCGCCAACACGCATTGGAGCAGCGCGGCGGACCTTTCCTTGCCCTAAAACCCTCTCAGAAATGAAAGGAGGCCTGTGCCCAGCAGTGGGACGTGTATATAGACTGTAACTTTTAGAGGTGTTATCGATATTATTATCGCCTAGGGAGTAGAAAATAATATCAGTAACCTAGAAAGATAATACCTCTCATGAAAAAGTTAATGTCTGTGATTATTCAGTGTTTATCGATTATTTAGTTATTAATTTAGTCTTTATTGAAATATTTAGTCATTAATTGGGCCCCCAACTATCTACGGTCGGCTAGCGGTGCAACCGTGCTTCGGATCCCGCTAACCTCCATAACCAGGCACCTGAGACTAAGAAACGGCCGCGTCGCAACCGGTCCGTATGCGCAACGCAACTGTCCAGACCCATTCTCCCTAAGAAATGGGTTTCACCTAACATCATACCGGAACACGATTTGCATCATGTCTTTGCCAGGTGGGTGGTAACTAACCCTCGGCCGGGCCTCTCACTAGTAGAGGACCAACCTAGCACCAGTATGTAGTACTGCTCGTTTAGCACTACCCAGGGGATAAGTGTAGGGAATCAGGATTCTAGTAATTCCTACGGACGCGAGCAGCTTCATCCCCCTAAATTCCCCCTATATTTGTATACGTATGTATGTATATATTAAGTAGTTAATTATCATTTTCGTCTTGTTTTTTATTATATATGCTACACCTATGTCAAATTATCACCACTCTATGGGACGTGTTGAAGAAGTGACCGTTGTGAGAAGTGACTCGTAGAGAATGGCTCAAGGCCGTCCGCCCTTTGTATTCTTTTGTTTTAAGGAATGCAATAAAAAATAAATAAATAAAATTGTCAGACGTGGGCCGGGGCCGACGGTGAAACAGGTGGACGTGGCGACGACGGTGGCGTGGTTGCTGCGCGCGCCGCCGCCGGGCGACAGCGCGGGCCGCGTGCTGCCCGCGCTGCTGCCCGCCGACACGCGCCAGCACCTCTACCTGCTGCACGCGCTCGCCGCACACTGCGCGCGACACGGCCTGCCCACCGACACCGGTACTGCTTTTTTTTCCTTTGGTTATGAACTCGTGCAGTTAGCACTTTTGCCAGTGCCAAGAAATCCGGTTTAAGAATATCGTCCCGTGAGTGTCGTAGGAGGAGACAGAGGGAAACAAACCAGGAGATAGGTAGCATCTTCTTCTGAATAATACTGAAATATAAAACTGCTAACCCGCCAAGCGTGGCAACTATGGCAAACATCCCCCCTGAGGCAATCTATATAGGCTGTATGGCCCCGATAAGCTGTAACGGTGGGTATAATAGGAAATTATCGTATTATATATATTCTTCAGAATATGCTGATGTTTCCGGATGTTGAATTTTTTGAGGGACACAATAGTGTGAGATTTATACCACCAGACGCTTTTTTACTGGAAAAAAGGCATTTCATCTTATTCCTCAGGAATGATGACACTACTAATTTCGATTTACTTAATAGAGTATAATAAATGCAGATATCAAAAGGCGACAACATCCACTTACACATCAAGTAGACTATGTGCCCTAATTCTATAAAAAAAGCACCAGGGAACTTGTTTCATCGTTTTCATTAATTACATATATACAAGACACACCAATTTTACGTATAGAAATCCGCTTACAACTACGTTCCAATCCCCTTGCCATCGAGTTCCCAAGTTCCCGCCAAAAATACTGGTAGTGGTGAAAAATTTAAGTCACTATTTTTAAAAACGGATTACCGTGAATGTGGACTCATATATATGGCAAACAAAGCGTTCTATCAAAACCCGCGTAAAAGAACACATAGCTGACGTGAAACACCAACGTTCCGGGAAGTCTGCAGTTTGTAATCATATCCTAGACGGAACCCGCCATTACATTAGATTTGATAAACCACAAATTCTCGCGAAAGAACATCGATTCCTGCCAAGGATTATACGTGAGGCTATTGAATTAAAAAACATCCTAATTTCAATAAAGATGGAAGCTGGGTACTACCACCTGCTTGGGATCCTGTCATTAACAAAATTAAAACTATAAAACCCAAGCATATCACCGCAAGACTTCAAGACACAGTAAGTTCATTCTGCATAAATGAGACCAAAATTAATAATTAAAGAAGCTGAAGGTACTCCGGGTTAACTCTGACATTGGGACGTCAATCACCTCAGTCCCCCGTGACCAAACAAGATAATTAAACGCGATAAAATCCGTAGAAGTAGTTTTATTCAACAGATTACTTTCAGTATTTTGAATAGTATCAATATATAAAAATAAAAAAATATGGCATATTAAATTATTGAACCTTATTTCCAGAGTTCTACAAGCAATTTAAGCGTGCCGAGAAGCAGTTCGCGCAGTATTTGGCAACGGGGCAAATGAGCGCCGCCAAAATCGCCAAAGAATTCTACGACGAGTCGCTAGAGGCGATGTCGAAATACCTTACCGAAACTACCGGCGAATTTGACTTGTTCGCTATCAGCTTTGCCACGATCCTGCTTTACATAGTGAGTTTATATATGAAAAGTATTTAATATCAGATTTCGGTAAATATTTTAAAGTTATAGATATCTATTTTACTGCATGAGACTCACTTATTCTGTTTACTTTTATGCTGTTTTAAATTTGAATCAATCAGAGACTGTATTTTATTTTTCAGATCGCTGCATCACTTCTATGCGCAACTCTATACTCCTTACAACCGGACATCCGTAAACCAAGCACGCATCATCAACCCTCCACGGCGAGCTTGTTCGTCGCCTTTATGATAATGTTTATAATATTTTCCGGTGTCCTTGTCATATCGTGTTTTATAACGGAAACCAAAAGCCAGTTCTGCTCCTTCGATCCCCTTTGGTCTATAGCATTCTTCGGGACAGTGTTCGCATTAACAGTAGTTTACTTCGTTATCAAAACTGGAATCGAGACGATCACAGATATGTCAGCGTTGAGAGACTTGAATGCCATCGACTATTTACTGATTGGAGGAACCCTATTCCATTCGTGGTCGTTCTTCGGTACAAGTTTCATCGAAGAGGAGCACATGACGTGGTACTTCTTCTGGAACACGCTGATGTTCTTCGTGTTGATACGAACGATTGTGGTTATTGTGATGTACTTCAGTAAGAGATTATCAAGAGCTACCGAGATACAAGAGAAGCCGGAGTTGGAACAAAGAATGAGTAGTGTTGGTATCAGTATTCTTCCTAAGTGGGTGATTCTGATCGCTTTGCACAGGTAAATTTCTTATTTTAGATTTTGCTTTTAATAATTCTTATTTCAAGGCAGTTTTTTGGAGAGTCGGTATCGCATTGGCTAAGCGGGTAGAGTAGGGTATTGGTTAAAGCTCTAAAAATAGAAATAATCAGCACAAAGACATACTTGTCAAGGGTGTTCATGTTGAAACAATATACAAAGATTATAAATGACTTTTACCAAGTTAATATTTTTTAAATGCCTGCTAAATTGGAGGGTAAGGTTAGGAGCGGCATTTTTGGCTCTGGCGGGCTCAGGTGGCTGCAATCCATGCTACGCCTTTGCAAATCTGAGTGTTTGCTCATGTGCAACTTCTGTAAGTTGAATCCACTATGACACAAGAGGAATTCTATGTTTTTTAAATGATACATGTTTTAATTTACAAAAAAAAAATATAAGTAGAGTAACGTAAATTAAATTAACCGTGTACATCCGTGGGTATTTTAAACTCGACTTATTAAAAACGGGAATTAATCCCCAATAGATAGTGAAATAATAATTTCAACAATTACATGCATTTAAGTTGTCCAGGTCATCGCTCCTGGTATGACATGCAGGTAGTCGATGGATGCAGGTGGCTCAAGACCGTGTTTTGTGGCATTCCTTGGGGGAGGTCTATTATGTTCAGCGTATGTTTATCAATGACGGACGAATTTACAGACCACCTGATAGTAACTACTGAATTTCAAGGACACCTGCACCTAACTTTATACAGGGAAGGCTACAAATGCGTTGTCACCTCTGAAGACAGATGAAACGCCTCACGCCTGCCTATACCTTTCAGACCGAAAAACAGCAGTGTAGGACATGCTATTTTAAGAAAATACATAAAATTCGCAACTAGAAAAATCTATTTCAAACCGCCAATCTTGCGAATACGGATTTACTGCGAAAAGTGGCTTACCGAATTAAGTTCACTGATAATAGACAGCTGTTGTCATATTTTAACTTAGAACAAATATATTAAATTCATAATACTATTTCTAAGCCCTTTCAAACCTGATTCCCTTTATATAATTTCATTCTTTGTCTTTCAAGGTACCTCCGAACAATGAACCAGACTGGTGACAGATGGTTGTTTCTACCAGACACGGCTGATTGGTTAAACGCACCCGAAAACGTTTTCTATCTTCAAGCACATCTTATTATAGGTACATTCATTATATTATATGATTTTAGTTCTCGGTATAACTAGGCACTTTTAGAGCCAAATTCTCAATCCTCAGATAAACAGACATTTACTCGACAGTTAGCAAGAATATTAATTTTCTATCGCCGGATAAGCTTTATTCGACCAATAACTTGACCAGCGGAGAAATAACTATACCTGTCTCTTTGACAACCAGATAACCGGCCATTCCAATAGTTTTTTTTTTTTTTTTTTTTTATAGTATAAGGGTGACAAACGAGCACACAGTCCACCTGATGGTAAGTGGCTGCTGCGGCCCATAGACATCTACATCTATCCTCTATTACAAATCAAAATGTAGACGCGTTGTCACCCGTGAGGACTAAGATGGAATGCCTCATTTCCAGTAAAAAGGGCCTCCGGCCACCTGCACTCACCAAGCGAAACGCAGAGGTAACCTCTACTTCACGCTGGTATTCTGTGAGGTCGTGGTACCACCCCGGTTCGAGCCGGCCCATCCGTGCGACAGCAAAAGCTGCCGCGTGGCTCTACCACTGTTAAAATTGTTTCACTCTATGACGCAACAAGCTAAACACGTTTATCTATTACGTGATATTTATTGATTTTGTATTAATTATAAAGTAAAATGTTATTATTATGGATATTTTAATAAAGAAATCGGAAGCATTTGAAGTCCTTCCATCGGTTTTGTACACCTTTTTACCAGAAAATGAAAATTAAATGAAAATTTTATTTCTTCCTTTCTCAAGGCATACTAAATACGAAAGTAATTGGTACCTTCTAGTAAGTATAAACAGGTATTTTACCTTTGTCAGGAGGCACCTTACCTCACTTCTTACATTCTATTTCTTCTTCTGTCTTTGCAGAGAGGATTTCTTTTTTGTCCTTTTTTAATTCTCACTTATTTATGCTTTAAATTATTGGATATACTCTCTTTTTCCCTTGCAGATTTGTTGACGTTTTTAGTCAATTCACCAACCTTTTTATTTTGTAAATTTGTTTATGCCTTTCACCTAACTCACGAACGCTCTTTTTGCATTGATTTATTTGCGGTTATAAATTGAATTACAATCAAAATACCAAAAACTCATTCACACTACACACATTAATAATCACTAGCCAACAATAGCCTCGTACTTAAACTGACACTTGACAGGTATGTTTTTTTCCTCACAGAAATTTCGTTTCACTTCCAAAAAGTTAGCGTTCATATCGCCCAATCAATAGACCGGATAGTTATTCATGAGATAAATCACAATTGAAAAATAGACAACGAACTATTAGACAGTTTATCAGTCAAACAATTTTATCTGTAAGTTAGTTATTAGACATTCTATCTGAGGATTGAAAATCGACGCTTAGTCGTTTCAAAAGGTTCCCAATACATAAAATAACTGATAAAAACCAGGCAAAAGGCAGTAGAAAATATGGATTTTATCATTAAAAAAAAACGAGCTAGTCTTACAGTAGTCGCAAATGATGTGTAACATGTGACATCTCACCTTTGTAACAAGCAACATTAACATTATATCCTGAAAAAACTATTTTTTTTTTTAATCAAAATTAAAAATATCATTTGGGCTGAGACAGAAATTAACCTCAAAATTTCTAAAAACTAAAATTAAAAAAATATTTATTTGAATAATTATTCATAATCACTCATTGAATGAAACTATACTTTTACGGATTTTATCGCGTTTCGGTTGCTTTCCAGCAAACGTCGGGAATATAAAATAAGTTAATTAAACGCGATTAAATCCGTAAAAGTAGTTTCATTCAATTTGTAGTGTTCGCGTAAATATAAGAAATCATTACACAAACACTCACTAGATTTTTTAATAACAGCTTAACACTGTTGTTTCGTATAGTAAGTGTAGAGAACCTAAGACCGCTTTCACTGGAAACGAGGCATTCCATCTTAGTCCTCACGGGTGACAACGCATCTGCATTTTGATCGGTAGTCGAGGATAGATATGTCTATGGGCTACAGCAACTACTTACCATCAGGTGGACTTTGTGCTCATTTGTCACCCTTACCGTATAAAAAATGTATATATTAGCACATTTTACTACCACCGCGCGCGCTCATTGGCCAAATCAAATAGCGCGCACTTCCCCGGCTTCCTGTTACACACTTCCGTCCCTTTTCATGAAATCACTCCCACAGATAGTGGGAAAGCGAGAGGAAAAATGTTACACATCAATAACATTGACTCTAGTATCATTGATTCAGGGAGAAAGCATAGGAATACGTTTGTATGGGGTTACGTATGGCGTTTAGCCGCTCCAATAACGCCGCCCCGTTCAATTTAGGCATCAAGCTATCCATAACTTAAGATAATTTTTACATCATTGTATTTTTCAAATTCAAATCTTTAATAGCTTTAGCCTAGTCATTAGTGTAGCTCAGGGGTTATTAAACCCGATTTCAAATTCCGCTTGTTCCACTGAAATTGTTAATAGCAAGTTTAAATGCTTATTTACCACGTATTTGGCGATGATAAAAAGTTCGTGAGGAATCGTGCATGTCTGAGAATTTTAAAACATTTCGACATTCCTTTTGTTCTTTTATCTGAGAGTACCGTCATACTCTTCTCTCCTTAAATCTTCCCAGAAATGGAAGTTTGTGTCCTAAGAGAGGTGTATGTAGGCCGTTAATTTAATTTTATCGTTGGTAAAAATTGTTGGTACAGTGTGCCCGCGGGATATCGAACTCAAGTGCAGTCCGCCACTCTATATAATTCCTTAGTGGCAAGTGTCGATTATGGAAAACCTCATGGTGTCCGAAATCATATAAAGGGGTGTAAAAACCCTTGACCCTGGAAAGGTGCCAGCCAATTGAATAAAATCGCCATCAAAAACATCTTAATTTTTAAAACTTACGCCTTGAATAACAAAATAAATTAAATGCAATAAAATCTGTAAAAATACATTTATTCAATCTGTAGTATTAGTGTAAATATAAATTAATCATTGTACTAACTTCTTAATTTTTGTTTTACGTGTTCTAAAGCCCCGGATACACTAGGGGATATTTTGTCCCGCAACATAACGCGGAACACTCAATCTATGCGACGATGCAACGTTGCACAGTGCACAGTGACGCGTAACATTTTACTTGACGCGGGACATGTTGCTTGTTCCCGTTCCGAGAGCGAGCGCACTTGTCCGCTCTCCGTCAGTCAGTGTCGCGCCATTTGTTACCGAGTGTAGTCGTGTGCGCAACATATCAGTAGTGGGGAGAAACGAAGCCTGAGCTTTACCAGTAATGTTTTGTTGTGGGATACTTCTAACCACAAACTTCTGGTACTATTCTGATACTGTACAAGGAAGCATAAGAATCTCCAGTCGACAAGAGTATCTTAATGCAATGGCAAGTCTGATATGAGGGCCAACAGCGTATCGTAGTATTGTATCCTGTTTGGCTATGAAAGATCCGAACAATTTTTTTAAAGTTTCAAACTCAGATGTTAACATTCGAGTAAAATTCACAAAAGATCCTTCAGACATTTGGAAATCACCTAAAATATTCATTCTTTCTTCTCGTTGTAGTAAGAAATTCCGTATCCACCCATTGTGTTATATGTACTACGCACTAGAGAAGTATTATTAGCGCTGCTCCACACTGAATGAATATTGAAACCACAGACTAACTAGTAGATTGAAACCACACTAAATGACACACTGTACGGATTGCAGTACAGTTCAGTTGTACATAGTGTATGTTCGGAATGCGAAATCTAGTACATAGTACATACATATCGATGGTATCCACCACTTTCTCTTTCGCTTACGTTTCACTCTCGAAATAAGTAATATTGTGGCGATTAGTACGCTGCACTAATAGCCACAACCTCTTCGAGCGACATTTCTATTAGCACTGACTAGTGTGGCCTGTAAATTGTTCCGCAGCATATGTCTCGGGACATTTCACGTAGTTGTTGAGCGACAAGTTGCGCAAAATGCCGCTCCTTTTGTCCCCAAGTACTTTATTCCAATAATATCCAAAGCTTTATTTTATCATTTTCAGGGACACTTTCAACACTAGGCATTTGTCTATGGAATGTAAGACACATGAACAACTCCGTGCATATACACACGGCACTTACTATTGCTGCGGCTTGCAGTATCCTGTGCTACCGAATCGCAGCCGGCGCTTTAGATTCACCGTTCCCAATTTTGAAAACATGGGACACTGTCACCATTGTCAACATATTCTGGGGCATTCTGATAGCGCAATTAATTTACGAAATACTTACTTATGTGGGTATATTCAAAAATTGTGGATGCAGTCCCAACCAAAACGTTAATAAGTTTGAATATAAAAAGCCGAAGGCCAAATCTGAAGATTATTTCTATGAGCCAATGGACGAACCATGGAACATTGACGATGTGAAACTTAGCCTGGCACGCTCCCTTTCGCATATCATTTTGAATGATTTGATGTTAATAATAATTTTGCTTATGAGGCCACATAACGTTATAATGGTGCCGAGTGTAATTGCGACATGCTCGCTCACTTCCAAATGCCTAGACCATAGACTGTTGGATTCTAGACCGGGAAGGGGGAAAGACATAGCCGATTTAATCAGCCAGACGCTTGTGCACATCTGGATCGGGATGGTTTTCTTCTTTTATCAGGTAAGATTTTTTATACTAATTGAAAGATACAATGGTAACCGTTACCTAAAGATACATGTATGTTTTTATCTTTTATAATACTTCTTCATTATGCGCTAATTTATACAAACTTAGTAACTTATAATCAAACTGAAGATATTAATACTTTCTATATTATCTAGTTATTCTTTTGTTGCACTCTAGCAATCAAGTCGTATGTATTAAAATTTTGTAACACTTTGCACAACGCAAATGTGTCGTATTCGTAAGAATGACGAGTAAGTCGTTTTATACATTCAACTTTGACGCTGAATGAGCAATTAATTATATTTCCATTTGCCATAATATTTTAGAACAAGAACTAGAGAAGTTTACTTGTACTTTTTTTGTTAGTCACTCAAGCGACAGACCGGCGCCGCCAACTTTTGGCCAACCGCCAGTGACCGCGCGACTAATAAAATATTATTTGACCACATCCGACCTTGCCGATAAAAACAAACGCAACGCAAACGTCTTTCGCAAACTACAAGTGCCTTATCAAAATTAAAAATACAGTTATAAAGCACAATAATTAAGGAATATGTCTAAAAATTGAGAATAATTTTAATTTGAAACTAAAAAAAGTTTTAAATTTGAAAAACAGTGATGAAAACTTTCTTTATAAAAATATTTATTTGATGAAAAACCCTTAACTTTATATCCATTTTAAAAATATTTATATAAACTAGATTAAATTACCTTTCTAACAGTATCAGAATGTATAAACTTATTCCTATTATTTATTCTGTGCTTATTCTAAACCGACACACACTTCACGATCACAGATTGTTATTTTTATTTCGTTGACATTCTGCTTGAGTAGTGCTACCAACATTATATTTCGTTGGATAATTTCATAGGGATGGACTTTATGAAACTATTTTCATAGACAAGACGCGTTAGTCGATTTTATGGCGTTTTATTGGACTATATCGTGAGGGTCGGAGGGGCTAGCACTCGATGGCGGATAACTCATTTTTTTTGTTTCGGGTACCATGGTTCCCCGTGGCGCTTGAGTGGTTAGTTTTTATTGGCAATTTCTATACAGATAATTACTAATTCATATTCGTCACGAATGTTATATTTTTCTATTCCATTGTAACCCCCTATAGCTGAAACGTATTGAAGAGTTTTGAAGTGAGGGATGTTTCGGATTAGTCTTCATCTCTAAATGCCATAGGCTACTTTTTGTGATATAAACACAGATGGCGGTAAGATTCCTGAACTGATCCCAAAATGAAGGTAGTGGAAAAGTACAAGTTCGTGTTTGCATACTTCCCGGCAAATGTAAACGCGTGAATGAGACGTAATTATTTAATAGACATAACGTTATCTAGAGTGCATTAATCTACGTTTACTAGATGGTAGGTTTCTTTTTTACATAGGAGTCGTGGTTAGGTCCATCCTTTTACCTGTTTCTGTTGCCAGATAGCGCCTCACTGCTATATCCTAGTCTGAAGGGTCCAAATATAATTATGTGCTGTGAGGCATTCCATCTCAGGCCTCAGAGGTAACAACGCATAACTTACGCTATGAACGCTGTAGCCTTCTTTGTTTGACAACAGTTGTCCATGAACTGCATTAGCCACTTAACCAGGTGGACTATAAGTTCGTTTGTCACTTGTTTTATTTAAAAAAAATACACTTTGTCTCCAGGTAGGTGGTTCATAGGCCGCTCAAAGGACTCGTGTATGCAAAGTAAAATAAATAAATGTGATAACAAGATTTTTAAAATATGCGCGTTACACAAAAGAGATTGAATAATACCATAGAGAAGCCTAGTGTTGCTACAGTTTGAACATACTCGTAATAAGGCTTACAAATAATTTACTCTTATATTTATCTTTAAAAGATTAGAGAAAGATTAGAAAGCGGCTCTTGCCACAGTGGCTTAGTATTGAATTCGAATCTCGTACGGAACAGTTATTTGTATGGCCTACAAATAATTCTTCCGGGTCTAGATGTTTGTCTTTGTGCAATTTTTTTTTTTGTAAACTACCTCCACGATGCAAAAGATTTACTTAGTGTGAGGTCACGTATAGTTTTTTAATATTTAGTTTTTTAGCGTTTCGCTCCGTGTAAAATGTGCTTATAGTTGTAACGAAGTGGTTGGTTTCTTTTACAATTACGTCCTAAGGTTTACTTTTTGGCCCGATCCGAAAACCATCCATCTGACCTAGCTTAGGTCAGACGGATGATTTTCGTGTCTCGTCGTGTTACGTTTGCGCCCGTATTTTTCTGCATCTTTGCCTACCATTGACCTTAACACATGAGCTGTTAAAGCGGCAACGGGAATGTTAGGACGATTAAATGTCTCCGTGTTTGCTGTTGCACTTGTATCACTATAGTAGTTTCTACGCAGATAACTTCAGACCATTCACAAGTTTTCGCAAAAGGTACTTGAAAATGGACCATGTACACATCTCATTATCATAGTTATTATACTATGTGCGAGTTAAGGAACTCCAATACTCGTATATCAAAAAGAATGATGCGGGTTAATAAGTATGTTGGGTGCGCAGGGCAACTCGAACAGCCTGGCGTCCGTGGACCTGGGCGCGGGCTACGTGGGGCTGAGCGAGTACTGCGCCGTGCGCGTGGGCGCGCGCATGGGGCTGCACGCCTACGCCGCGCCCGCGCTCGCCGCCGCCGCGCTCCACTGCCGCCTCGCGCGCACTCACCAATGGAAAAGGTGAGTTATGCACACGTCACACTGCGCCTCACTAATGAGACACACAAACGTAACTATGTGAGTCACTAGTAAGCCATGCGAAGAACCTAATGTGCGTCATTAGAACGTGGATATCACAGTGTGGCTCACTAGTCAGACACCTGAAGGTCACAGCACAGAATAAATTATAATACTACGTACAGAAGTTGCACTTTTTTGATGTTTGATGCTTGCCAACGTTTTAATATATATGTAGGAATTATTATTATTAATTCGATAAATCGCGCACACATGCTAAATAAAACTATCGCTAAGCGCGTGTCCGTATTACTTTGCATCTTTTGCCCTTCCTACGTCACGGCGGACTTTCCGTGGTTACTATGGGCAGTCAATCAAGAGTAATAAAAATACATTGCGAAATGGTAAGTTACTTAAGTACCTATTCTGACTATGTGAGTTCTGTGATGCCCCACGCATGCAACTTGCAAAGCCGTTCGTCGGGAATCACGATGCTTGACTCGGAAGAAATAGGTACATAGTGAAAACAACAAATAAACTCGAAATAGGATTCCTAACAGAAATGTGATCGTATTCTACTTAGTTAAAAATCTTGGATAGTAAAGTAAATTTCAACTAAGCTTTGTAATAAACTACTTTGTATTACTTCTGTAGTTAAATTATTACTTAATTATTATTTTGCTATAAGTACCTATCTATCAAAAAATTAAGTTCACCTTTCACTATCCTTCGGTAACTTTTTTTTTATAGGATATGATGACAAACAAGCACACAGTCCACCTGATGGTAAGTGGTTGCTATAACCCATAGACATCTACATCTATCCTCAATAAAGAAACAAAATGCAGATGCGTCACCCGTGAAAACTAGCATGGAATGCCTCTTTTCCAGCAAAATGGGTCTCCGGTTCGCTACACATACTAAAAACACACACACATATTAAAAATTCTTTACAATTGAATGCAAAACAAATTTCAACACCTTCGTATGATTATTTTACCAATACTGAGCTCTATGTACCTTTATATTTTTAGTTCCCATGCCACAAAGTGTCAAACATTTGAAAGCTGACGCAGATTTTTCTAGAACCTTTTTAATAAATTAGGTATAAAATTACTTACAAATGAAATGTGATGCCATCCATAGCATCTGAGCGTCTGAGTAGTTTTTACACGATGAAACACAACACTTCATCCTTTTCTTCTTAATACTACGAAAATATACCGATTTCCGATTTTCGACACATAAGCGCATTGGACGAATGCTGACAGTTTACTAACTAAAGCCACACCCACTGTGATGACGTCAGGACCTAGTTAGAATCACAGTGTACAGTTGCTTATGCCATCCTCTCTTTGTATTTGCTTCATGGTGTTAATGAACCTGCGAAATTCCCATCAAATTCCTACAATAAATTGGTCATTCTTCCTTGTGGTGAAGGGGGTGGGGAGGCTACATCATACCTACTCGTTGATGTCCTCAGATTGACGATCACGTAGTTTTACAATATGAGTCACGTAAGTCTTAAAATGGGATATGAGAAACTTATGTGAAGGTTACAATGTGGGTCACTAGTGAACAATGTAACGGATATTACAATGTGAGTAATTGGCGAATTACGTAAAGGTTACAATGTGGCTTACAAGTAGGGTATGCAATTATCGAAACTTTTCGATAATCGATAATCCTATTTTTATCGAGTATTTTTTCGATAAAAACCGAGAATTACCGATTTACATAAGAAGAATACCTGTCGCTTAGAATTTCTTTCTACGTGCATTCTACTCTACAAAAAAAATTTAACGTTTTTATGATTCAGTGAAATACCTTATTTAATTAAAAATCTGGTTTTATATCCATAAAACGACAAATCAATATCGAAAAAAAAAACAAGTTTTAATCATAATAGTTATGGTACCTACTATTAAACAACAAAACAAATAAAATCTTTTTCTCACAAACAAAACAAAAAATATAGGTACTTTATGTAGGTAGAAACCTAGTCGAATAAAATTTACTTATGAAATAACACTTTCGTCTATTTATTTAGGATTAACTAATTTTAACGATCAAATCAGTCATTTTAAAACAGTAATCATTTTAAATAATATGTACTTAAAATGATTATGAACTGTTTTAAAATGTTAACAAAACGTTATCAAATTATAAAAACAATCAAATATAATATTTATATTTACCTATTACTTAACATGTTTTGGTTCAATTATGAATCAATTATTGTAACAATTAAATCAGTCCTTTAATTTAGAATAATAAGTAGGTACATTATTTACATACCTAATCTATTTCGCACATCGCACTCGTGTCGGTAATGTAATGAGTGAGCGAGACACTGTTGGGTGGAATGCCACGGCACGCGGCGCGAATTTCAAAAAATGACTCGCGGTAGTGATGAAAATGATTGCATAAACCTTTATGAATTTATCGTTTATCGGTATTTTTAAAGAAATTTTTCGATAATTATCGGTGAAATAAATGACCTGATTACCGATAAATTATCGGTTATCGATTATCGGTTTGCATGCCCTACTTACAAGATAGTGAGTCACGTACCGCTTTCAATGTGGGTCACTAGTGAGAAATTTCAGAACGCCAATAAAATTATTTTTCCAGGTACTTGGCATCAGTGTGGCGAGTCTCGAACATCTACGCACTGCACCGAGTATATACATTGGCCGTGTACTGCGTGGTCGCTGTCGTATTCCGACATCATTTGTTCGTCTGGTCGGTATTCTCACCTAAACTGTTGTACGACTTCGTGGCGACCGTATTTTCTATACAGGCACTGACGACGATCGCGCAAATTGTACTTTTAACTAGTCTAACCAGTTGGCTTGCGAGAATATTTACTTATAAGTCTACATTGTGATATATAGTTAAGTTTCAATCTCATTAGACTGAATGAACTTTGTATAGAAAACATGAAGTTTATTTTTCATATTTCATTAACTCTTTTTTTTTATTTACTTTAAATTTTTATCTAGTATTCCAATCATTAGAGTTGTACATGCTATTTAACCTTTTTTAAGGCTAAAACAGTCGCGGCAGATATGAAAAAACGACTTTTTGTATGTAATAGGTAATAATTTTTGAAATTTTATAGTATTTTATGACACAGTGAATATTGTGGAAAAGTTGCCGGAAAATTTGGTGGCAATATAATAGCCACTACCTGTAGAGTACCAAAATAAAACACATAGAATTCAAAAAGGAGGCGGTACTTAATTCGACTGTATGTTTTTTTATGTGTGTTACCTCATAACTTTTTACTGGTTAGACCGATTTCGATGATTCTTTTTTTATTTGAAAGCTGGTGCTTCACGTGTGGTCCCATATAAATTTGATCAAGGTCTGACGAATATTTTTTGAGTTATTCTTAATAATTTATATTGAAGTCGATTGTACAAAACTTTTAATTTTAAATTATATTAATTGATAATATTACACTTTTAGTAGGAACATGAATGACAAATTTATTTAGTATCACTTAATATTTATTACATAGACACATACAATAGACATGAAATGCACCAAAATATGGGAAACCACAAAGGAGAACTTTGCAGTGACTGCATATAAATTTGCTACGTACATTATATTTCTTTGGCATGCCCGACATCTACGGTACCCCCGTCTATATCATGAGGCATGTGTATCCATGATAAATTTGACAGAGAAAACGGAACTCTCGAGCTATTTTCGTATAACAAATATGCATTAATTATTGCCAAATCAATAATGAAGTAAAAAATGCATAGCCACCATTTCTTACTTTTCGCTCAACATCATAAGTACCCCTTTCTTGATCAAAGCGATCAACTACGCCCATTCGTCGAGTATATTGTCTGACTGCTTCAGGGCACTCTATTTCTTTACTTGACCCATCTTTCATTGTTCTGGTACATGTTGAGACTAAACTTGGGTGAAATGCAGCTGTAAGAAGTTACAGGTTATATGTCTTTCCACACAATAAATGCTATACATCTTTTTTCACCCGCCATTAATGCTGTCCCCTTTCAAGCTGTTTCAGATTCACTTGAGCTTTCTCTTTACTTTTTATAAGTTTCGGTAAGTCAGCTCTTTTAGAATTTGCAGTGGCAGTAGAATAAATACCTTGCTTACAAAGATACTGCATTAGATCAAATGAGGAAAAAAATTGTTAATGCAACATGTGCTCGAACAATTTAACAATTAGAGGGGCAGTTACTTGTTTCACAACATTAGCACCAAAGCCCAACTCAGGACTGTTGTCACTACTTTTTTCAGTATATATTTCAAACTGAAATACATAACCAGTGGCACTATCGGCTCTCACACAAGCAGGCATGTATTGTTTTAATGATGTGCATTTAAATTTTATCATAGCTTCGTCAATAGACTGACTAGTCGTAGAACTATTTGGCTTCTCTTTTACAAGCGTTATTCAACATTATATCTAATAATGGACGCACTTTATATAGTTTATCATACTGGGGATCATTTCTACTAGGCATTGTCGAGTTGTCAGCTAAATGAAGATTTTCCATGATTTTTTTGAATTGTTTACAAGTCATGACTGATACAATTTCTCAACTCTAAAAAAGGGATCAGTAGACCAGTATAAGTCCCAAGTTGGAACATTATGTAATCCCATCATTATTATTAAAACGGCTCTTCACGTTGGCCAACATTGTGGCGAATATGGTGGCCAATACGGATGGGCATTATGTAGAGCGTATGTTTGTGCTTCACTTGGTATGTGTTGGAATGATGGCCCACAAGTTGGTGCGAGATCCGTGAAGTGTCGCTTTTATACAAAATATGAAAGGGTTGTGGCAGAGTTATTGCCGCCGCGTCCACACGTTGAGCGCACATTTAGTTTGCTACTAACTCCCAGAGTGATCGCACGCACGTCCGCACGTTGGTCTGAACCGAAGCAAACCGAACCTTCCAACGTGTGGACGCCATCACAAACTCTTGGCTAATATCTTTGCCAACACATTCGCCACAATGCTGGCCAACGTGAAGAGCTGCCATTATACCTAGCACCATTCTAACGTCCATCACTGTCACTGGTTCCCAATGCTTGGTTCTTTGCTATGTGGCATACAAATTTGTTTGTTCCATTATTAATTATAAAATATCATCAGAAAAAAATCTGGAAAGTATTCCAGTGGACTTGTACGGCTAGGAAAAATACTGACGGCTTTAATAAAATGTCAGAAAATGTTTCTGATTTAGGCCTCTCATTACTCCACATTACCTTCTTCCATTTCTCTTCATCTTGATCGGATTCCGAATCAGATTCAGAAGTGCTTGAAATTCTCGTTGTGCTTCGGTGATGGCGGCGTATTATAGAAGTGTCATTATCATCTTCACTACTAGAGTCTGTTATAGTGGACTGAAAAGAAATATTTAGATATTCCCCTGGAAACACACCAGAACACGATGGCTCAGTATTGTCGACCGCTTGGTTTTCTAAAGCTGGAGAATTAATAGTGTTAGAAAGTGTAACCGAGTGTTCAGACTCATTGCTTACTGATGTCTCAAGCTGTAAATTGGAGCTACGGCTGAAATCATCCTCTTCATAGTCTTTTTCAGACTTCAGGATTTTCCAAGCCGAATAATTTTTCTAACTGTTCCTCTTTTTGAACGTCCCGCAACCCCGCCTACAATAATAACAAGGCAGTGGTTAATTTATTGCCACCAATAATATGTAAGGTATACGGTGGTGGCAGCAACATTGCCACCGAATAATTAACATTTTGTTATTGGATGTTTAGTAAATACCGGCAAAATACAATGATGGATACAATATAAAACAAATAAAGAGGTTTAGAAGAAAAACTTACCATTATGATAGCCTTTATTTAAATATTCAACTGGATGAAGATACAGCCAGGAAAAGAGAGCCCTCTGACGATATTTTATTGCAGACCAAATTGAACTACTAGCGCCTCCTACAAATTGAATCCGAACTAATTCGCTATATATAGCTCTACATATAGGTACATCTTCTATAGTAGTAAAATGTATAATATTGTTCTTTAATTTTTTTCTGTATACATACTGAAACAGTTTTACTGCCTACTTTATAGTAATTTAAAGTATTATTAAAAGTAGGTAAAACAGTTTTAATAAGTACACTGTTATTTATGGGGTATTTGCAATGAAACAAGAAAGATAATTATTTCATCTTTTATTTTAATAATGCCTATGTTTATTATAATATGTTTGCGCTGCAATTTTTACATCATCTTCACCATCAACATATGTCAATTTGCCGGATAAAATACGGTTAATGGATCTACACCAACTATGCAATATAATATTAATTGACACATCTGTGAAATATTCTATCAATGTTTCTTTATGTCGACAGCAATCAAAAGGATATTCCACAAGTACATCTGCAATTGATTTAATCTGTTTTTTTACGTTACATTTCAGAACGTCTTTTTTTAGAAATGACTCTGTAATATTTTGTAGGTCATGGAAACAATTTTGCAATGCTTCATTGGGATAACACAAACATTTTTTTTAATTATATTCTTTAACTTTTATAAAACTATTACTGGCATTTTGGTTGTTTGGATCTGTTAGGTTCTGTCTACAATATTTACACGACTTTACAACTTTTTTTAAACATTTAGTCAAGACCCAACCACATACATAATTTCGTTGCCCTGCATCTGCTTGTAGTGAATAATTTAGTAACAAATTATCATTTAAAATAATTTTGTCTTCAGTGGGAACATCAGAATCGACAGTATTATTTTGTTTTTCATTAAGAAAAAAAAGAAGGCATTGAAGGCACTCATTCATATCTTCTTCACAGTTAGATTGTTTGGATTGTGGTAGGTTATAATTGTTTAATAATGCTTTAAATGCCCCTTCAAATGAAATAGTGTTAGGCGCAATATTTCTGGCTCCATAGCTTCTGATGTTCCCAAAAAAGTTTTCTACAGGGTCCTGATTAAAATTACGTGTTAATACTGTATCATAACCGTATTTACCAAACAAAACTTTGCAAATTGCTTCCATACCGTTGATAGTTTTAATAAAATTTGTCACAGAAGGTATAGTCATTTCCACTAAACATACTTTATTTCCAGTAACCTTTTTTTGGATGAATCTTACAGTTTTTAAAATTTCTTTAGCTTTCAGCCACAGTTGGTGATGAGGCGAGTGCCTTTTAATTGGTCCTTTATAAATTTTACCATTGGGTATGCTAAATGTACTACCATTGAGGCTGTCAAATAAATTATCAAGTAGCAAAGTTATTTCAATTAATTGCTTACATTCTACTGGCAAATCACCTCTTGCTATCAAATGGTCAGTAACCACAGCCACACTGTGACTGAAAACCTGTGTTGCAGATTTGACCTTCATTTTATTTATTTTCTCGGGGACAATATGTTCTTCCGTTATTTTATTTAATAATCGGAGCTCCCCATGTGATTTATGAGCTGTATATACCTGCTGATAATATTGCTATTTAACTATTTTATTTTCATTGTTTGATTTATATATCATATCTCTCCTCAATAAATTGTTTCTAATTCCTTTCAATAAATGAGGAACATTATACAATGGAATAATATCGTGACCATTAATAGTAAATACATCATGGCGTCACTCTTTATCAAGTCGCAAAAACCTCGCTCTTGTGTTATTAACTAAATCTGTTATAGCACCAACATTTACAGAGCTTTGGTCACATATAGCATTAATTACTATTAGGCCAGATTTTTGGACTTCAATTATAACACATTTAATCAAAGTTTTAAGCTCATTTTTTGGCAAGCTATTGGTAAAATAATAGGCGACCGGCTGTTTAAAATTTTGTTTTAAGCCTTTTACCATAAAAACAAGAGCATGGTCGGCAAA